GCATACAATTATCCACCGGTTACCTTTTGAGGAACCAACTGGACCCGAGGAGGGCCGCTTGTGGCTCTGGCACTGCGTACAGCTGGCCACGTAGTTCTGAATCGTTTTGCTCATTTTCGGCCAATAGAACCGCTCTTTCATGCGACTAAGTGTTCGTGCGGTGCCTAGATGGCCAGAGGTGGGGTCATCATGCGTGAGACGCAGAACAGACGCTTGGAGGGACGCAGGAACAATCAGCAGAAAGCGGGCGCCCGCCGTGGACAAGTTTCTCTGGTAAAGAAGACCATTTCGGACGCAGAATCGGCCTTCGCTTAATGAATTTCTCGCTCCAGGAAACAGAGCTTTTAAGCTTGGGTCATTACGCTGCTCAGCGGCGAAGGTCACGGCATCGGGAAAGCCAGACGACAAAGAAGCGATAAGGTGGTCAAAGTTATCGGCTTCACAATCTGTCGATGGTAGCGGCATTCTGGAGAGGCAATCCGCATCAGCGTGTAGACGGCCAGTCTTGTATGAGATGGTGAAGACATGTTCTTGCAAACGAATGGCCCATCGTGCGAGGCGGCCGGATGGGTTATGAAGGTTGACCAGCCAACACAGGGAATGGTGATCTGTGACGATAGTGAACGGGCGACCATAGATGTATGAGCGAAACCGTTGCACGGCAAAGACTACCGCTAGGCATTCCTGTTCGGTCACTGTGTAGTTGCGTTCAGGCTTGCTTAAAGGACGACTTGCGTACGCCACAACGTGTTCCTTCTTGCCAGAACTCTGAACGAGAACGGCACCGATACCGATGCCACTTGCGTCTGTGTGAATTTCTGTGGGCGACGAAGGATTGAAGTGCCGAAGTATTGGCAGCGAAGTTAACAAACACTTCAGCTGGTGAAAAGCGGCATCACACTCGGAGGTCCACTGAAACAGGCTGTTCTTGCGTAGAAGGCTCGTCAGGGGGTGAACGACATCCGCAAACTTGGGTACGAACCAGCGGAAATACGAGCAGAGCCCAATGAAGCTACGCAGTTGTTTCACAGATTTAGGACGCTCGAACGATTCAACGGCCACTGTCTTTTGTGGGTCAGGTCTAATGCCATCTTTGTCGACGAGATGTCCTAACACCAATGTCTGTCACTCACCAAAGTGGCACTTTTTTGAATTCAATACAAGGCCAGCTTTTTCAATGCAGCTGAGCACTAGGTCTAGGCGAGTGTTGTGCTCCTCAAACGTACGTCCAAAAATTACGACATCATCAAGGTAACACACGCATATCTGCCATTTTAAACCACGCAATATAGAGTCCATAAATCTTTCGAATGTCGCAGGAGCATTACATAATCTGAATGGCATAACGTTGAACTCGTAAAGTCCGTCGGTTGTAACAAATGCCGTCTTTTCTTTGTCAGCTGCGTGCATCGGAATTTGCCAGTAACCTGATCTCAGGTCGACAGATGAAAAGTAGGACGCGGAATGCAAACAGTATAGAGCGTCATCGATGCGCGGCAGTGGATAGACGTCTTTCTTGGTAACAGAATTCAGTCGGCGGTAGTCAACGCAAAATCTCCACGTACCATCCTTCTTCCTCACTAGAATGACGGGAGCAGCCCACGGACTTGCCGATTCCTGTATTATTCCCTTTTCCAGCATTTCTTGGACTTGCTCGTTGATGATCTTGCGCTCCGATGGTGCCACTCGGTAAGGTTTCTGCCTAATGGGATGCGCCGACTCGGTGTGGATCTGATGACGTATCCGGGACGCTGGGATTAAGGGCCTTTGGCTATGTTTAGAAAAATCGAACACTTTCGAGTGCTTAGATAGAACGTCGAGCAGAGTATGACGTTCGCTTTGGTCAAGTGACTTGCTGACCATTTGTAGCAATGGGGCATCTTCTGAACCTTCTAAGCCTAAACGTTCATTTTGGCTTGTAGCATCAACAAGCGCAACCAGCGTCGTACATGATTCGGGTCTAAATACTGCAAGTTTCATGCCACCTGGCAGAATTGCAGGCTCCATGGAACTGTTCATAGTCCACACACCTGCCCGTCCATCAATGACTGACACTATACAACGGGGAATGAGAATGTTCTTTTTCAGGCATGCCAAGGGAATCGGTTCGAGCGTGGCGTCAAACGTGCCACAGTTGTTGCTGGAACATGTCACGGGAACACACACGGCAGAAAATGCAGGAACGACTGTGTCCACGGAGACGAAAAAGATGCATTCTTCCGGACAGGAATTTTCCAAGAGCGCCGTTTTCCAAGAGCGCCGTTGGGAAAGTATCGTGTATAGAAAGATGCCCACTTCTGCAGTCTACAGTTGCCCCACACACAAACAAAAAGTCAATACCCAAGATAACGTCATGTGTAGACCGCGGAATAACCGCAAACTCTGTGAAAAACACCTTGCCACACAGCGAGACGTCCACAGTACAATATCCCACCAGACACAACACGTCACCACTTACACCACGAAATGTCACCCCACGGTTCAGGCAAAACATCACTTTTGGCCCTAGCAGGTTTTTAAAATTTACACTCATCACCGAGACTGTAGCGCCTGTATCCACAAGTGCCATAGTAGCCACTCCATCGACAGCTACAAGAACTTTGTTCTTCAACATAAACGCTGATGGGGGTATATCTGTAGATAGCACCTGTGATCTCGCGGCCTCACCCCCACTGGCCGCACCGACTAGTTTTCCGGCGGCGGTGTACGTGCCCGTCGCCGTGGCAACGGCGATCGTGGAGCACGGGGAGCTGGTGGTGGCGTCAAACTTCGATCAGAGGCCGGCGAGGGGTAGCATGACCCGGTAGGTGCGCGTGGTTTCCGTGACGTGGAGAGCGGATGGTCGAAAGGTTGGTGAGACATGTGCCAAGACTATCGCTGATATGGGCGATGGTCACAAAAACGTGCAATGTGACCCGAGACGCCACAGTGGTAGCATACCCGAATTTGTCGAGGGGCACGAGGCTGCTCAGAGTAACGACTCCTCTCGGAAGGCATGGGATAGTGGTGCCGCCCTTCGGGCGCACTGTAGACAGGCGATGTTGGGTAAACAGGCGGGCGAAAACTTCGTTCGTAGTTGGGAGGTGGTTGACGGGGAAATCCAGCCTGCCGTGTGCCTTGATATGCATAAGCGTCTGCTGCGTTGATCGATGGTTGCCATAGTGGAAGAGAAACAGGAGTCCGCACACGTTCTGGTTCGCTTACGTACACATCCTGAAAATCGCTGGGGCGATGGTCTGCTGACATCGAAGCAGCTCTTCTCTGACAATCTGCCGTATGGTCAAAGCAAGGTCGTTAGGCGGCACTGTTTCAACACTAGCCACAGTGGGGACGTTGAACAAGCGGCCGAATTTCGGAGAAATTCGTCGCATCTTAAGGGATTCAAAGGTACGACAGTGCTTCATCACGTCGGACACGGAGTTCAAGCAGTCTTTCCCAATTAAGAAATTGCACACGTCTTCGGCTATACCCTTGAGAACGTGTCCAACCTTGTCTTCTTCAGACATCCTCCCATTCACGATCTTGCACAGCTTCAATATTTCTTCAATGTATGTCGTACATGTTTCTGCTGGAAGCTGTGCCCTCTGAGACAATGTCTGCTCTGCGTGTTTCTTCTTTGCGTCCGAATCACCGAAGCACTTCTGCACTTCTTCAACAAAACGTTCCCAAGTCGTGAACATGTCCTCGTGGTTCTCGTACCACATGAGGGCGGTGTCAGTTAAGGAGAATACGACATGATTGAGCTGTTCGTTCGAGTCCCAACCATTGCTTCTGCTCACCCGCTTGTAGTTCTTGAGCCACACGTCGACGTCTTCTTCTGAGGTCCCGGCGAAGTTTGGTGGCACTCTGTAGTACGGCACGGAACCCATCGGAGTTGGCCTCGAAGCGTTGGATGGCTGCTCTTGGGCCATTACGATCGGCGAAGGTGGAAGTCCGGCGAGGCGGCGGCTGCGACGAAGTCCTGGTAGTGAAGCTCCCGTCTTTAGGTTCGTCCTACCCAGCACCTTCCACCAAATTGTTACACAAGGTAAGGTAACTTAATGGGGGGTTTTTAATGGGCCCCGAGTCCGCGATCGCAGTATCATGATGATGATCTCCACCGCCATGGCTCGTACCCACTCAGGGGAATCGCAGTGGAGGCAACGTAGTCTTCCTTCTCTATTCGCGCTTCCCTTGTTTTTCCTGGTAGTGATACTCCGTATCACTATTCATATTCCTGTATCTTTACATTGTTCTTTGCCGGACCAGACGCCTGCAAAGGGTCTCTTTACGAAGAAGTTTCAGGGACCGGCATGGCTCTCTGGTAGAATAATGGGCTGCCACGGGGAGGACCCAAGGTTCGAACCTCATTCCACCCTGGATATTTTTTTCTTAATTCTCCCGATAGCAGTTACAAACACCGGTGGTGGCGGACAACTGCAGTGCCGAAAATGGCCCTTCTTGTGATCTGATAACAGCTTCCACTGCAAAACAGAGGCTGGGGCTGCAGGGTTTCTTGAGATGCTGAGCACACGCGGCAATGTCTCGCAGTTCGCATCAGTGAGCAGTGGGTTTTTTGTTAGACTACAGCACGGTTCTGCCAAAGGAACTGCAGATGACGTAGGTTTCCACACCCACGCTTACAGCGTGCTCACACGGGCAGAGCAAGACAAACTTTTCTTCCACATTTTCTAAAGTTTCTGCTGCAATAACAACGAAAATAAATTAAATCGTAGCCAACAATAATGTTGGCTTTAACTAATCACAAAGCTTTGAGATTCTAAAACCTCTACAGCTTTTCTTCAAGGCCTCAAGGTTTTATGTAGAATTTTCCCACAAAAGTAGAAAATTGAAAAACATTTATTAGCAGAAAGCTGGCCCAATGAACACACATGTGCTCTCAAGATGTAGACAGTAATCAAATTATACTTAACACACAATAATAAAAAATTGTGTTGATAGAGAAGTCTGACACTCCACTTGTTTAGGCGCAAATAATGAAATATTACACCCATACGCACCTTCATGATCCGAAAATCTGCACGCATCTCGTCAGTCAGGCCTGTCAGTGTGCAAAGTTCAGGCACCAGACACACCAACCGTGGCTCCTCGGACTCCTGTAGAAAAGAAATCAGGAAAAAAAATAAAAGACGCTTGTTACTCGTGAAAATCTCTTGGCTCCCGCTACTGGCAACCTCAACGTATGTCATCACCCTTGAAAATGATATTTAAAAAAAAATTGAATCTACAGACATTCCAAATTGTGCTGCCACAAAAATGATATCTCTATCTGGTTCAGTTTGAGAGTTGTGCTTGTTATTAGAACTATTGGTAGCTTTTCTTGAAACCGGAACTGACATTTTGGGGTACAAAACCAACATTTTAATCCCTAAAATGTATGTTTGTGCACCAATTTGCGGGATATAATTGGTTTGTGATGAAGTAAACTAAATCTTAAAAAATTAAGCAATGGAAACTGCACCATTTTTTAAAATTCAAATTGCACAAATTTCCACATGAGGGCACATGTGGAAATGTGCCCTCATGTGTGAATTGCACAAATTTCCACATGTCCCACCCGCTCTCCCATGTCTGAGTCGATGGCCCGCTGACACAAAGCGCTGCCACAAATCGTTTGCCGCAGTTGTTCTGTTCGGAAGCTTCAGGCTCGGCATCGGGCCCAACGTCGACGACGAAGTCGACCTCGCGAGAACAGTTTCGCGTGCATGTAGCCGTCACCTCCGCCCACGAAATATTCACCATCTCTACAGCTGAATACCGGAACGCCCGAAGCAACAAGTTGGCTGCGATAGAGTGAAGAGAGGGAAAGGAGTTGCAATAGAGTGAAGAGAGGGGAAGATACAGCGGGAGGGCGACCTTGAAAACTAAAACACGCTGGAAGCAGGCTGGTCGGCTAGCTTGCTTGAAAGGTCCGTGAAACGCGCCACTCGTGCGTAGAAAAACTTGAAAGAGTGCCTGCGTGCACAGAAGTCAAAGCGCAGCGGCCTGGATAAGCATGCGCGGCGGTGTTCAAAGAATCGGCGGCCATGGTCAAAAAATTGTTAAGTTGCGCCGGCGGGTTCGCGTGGCCTCACCGACTTCGATATTTCGCGATTCGTTTCACCCAAATGAACAGCCGTTTTCGCTCTTCCGCACGCGTGCGAAGAGCATGCTGAGCTGACTGCGAAGTGAGCGAGAACAGGTCATAAACACGAAACAAATCGAGAATTATCATCGAGAATTATCAAAGTCGGTGGGGTAGCGTACGCGCGTGCACTAGACGCAGACGATCAGATACAGTCGGTGGCCGACGATGTTGGCAAATAGTCTGATCACTCCAGGCCGGCGACGCCAACGACAGTACCAGCGATCAAAAACAGGGGAGATGGAGGACCAGTCTTCAAAAGATCGGGGGCGGTGCTCAGAGTAGTGGGGGGACACAGGATGAAGGGGTGCGTGACAAAAAGCAGTCGGGGAGAGCGCCAACTTGAGGGGCGCGGAGGCAGGGTCGCCTCCGCGCCCCTCAAGACTCGCCCGCACAACAACTCGCGCGAGCATGCGCGTCAGTCTGCCTCCACCTCTCTTGTAGAACTTGTTGACCCACCCGCGCATCTGACCTCCTCCTTCCCCTTCAGAGTCACTGCGCCATGCTCCCTACCAGACGGCAGAAATTACACGCCTTCTTCTTCTGACCCCTACCACCATAGAGGTAGTTTGCTGTGGAACAGCAACACTACCTCTATTCTGCCGCTAGACAGGAGATGGACGACAGCGCAAACGTAAGCGCAAAAATATAACAATAGAGCAGAAGTCGGCAATGTTGAAAGCCGTTAAGTCTGGTGTCAAGAAAATGAAAAAGTGGCCGAAATTTTCGGCAATGTGGGGATTGCGGGCAACCAGGCCCAGACGTTGTGGGACACTCTCCTTGACACCGGCGTTGTGCCTGACTGCGACACTTTCTGAATGTATGTCAGTGCCGATCTTGACGTGGTGACAACCGAACAGTTGTCAGATGCAGAAATTGTGCCGGCGGTGAAGATCATGCATGACGACAGTGATGAATGTGTCGACACATTCTAATGTTGGCGAACCTGACACCCGCGCAAGCGCTTGATGCGACAGACCTACTGTGCCACTTCTTTAGTGCTTACGATGATGGCGAGGACGAACTCTAAATAGCTTCTGCAGCTGAAAAAGCAGTGACCCGCGTAAGGAAGAGTGAAAAAAAGTCTATTAAGGCCTTTTTTTTTTTTTTTCGAAGTAATATGTCAGCTGGTGTGCTCAATTTGGCAGAAATAAAGTGCATTGTTCTGTATCATTTTGCTACTGTTTTGCCTTCCGACGGCAGTTTTTCTTGGCGCGGTGGGCTGCTGCGATATTCGTTGGCGAGTACATTCTCTCTAATTGGCTAATTGTCAGTAGAAATGAATATTGGCTAAAACAAACTAATGGTTATAACAAAGTAATTACGACTCCCCCTTCAACTTCGTGATATAACGAGGTTTGACTGTGTTAGACAAGGTGACAAGCCAGCCCATGCACGAATAATCGCAAGTCACAAGATGTCACCGGAAAGAACTCAGAAGCAATTGGAACAAGAAATAAGCAATTTTTTAAGAAAAAAAACTCTTACGATTGACAGCCAATATCATGAGCAAGAGGGCACAAGGCATGTGCCAGGCGCTGGAATGCGGTGCCATGTGCATACGCGTTCACGTACGAGATTGGACAACAAGGCTCGTGGCACGCGACCCGAGCCATACTGAAAAATCTCGAAGAATGAGCTGTCCCTGTGAGTTGGGTTTCGAACTGCGAAGATCAGCGTCGCTACCGCAACGAAAGCAGCAGAGCCGCCCGATTCCGAGACTGTCGGCGAGGAGACCTGGGAAGTGGCCATCCATCTCGGAAGACTTAAGTGAGGCTGCCCGGACTCGCCGCAACTTGTCGCCGCAACCTGTCACAGCAGTTCCTGGTGGACCTACAGCACTTCCACTTCGAGTCAGAATGGATGTGGCTCACAACACAGTAACGCCACCATTGACAAGTCAAGCCGAAGACGACCACGAAGACTGGGGCCATCCCGGCAATGAGGTCAAGCGGCTCGTTCGGCGAAATCTGCCCACGACCGTAGGAACATAGGGAAGACGCCGACAACAGATGTGGCAAACTGTCGACATAGCAAAAGCACAGCATTGACGTGGCAACGCCACGAGGTGTAAGAATGTTTCGATACCGAGATGCCATCTTGGATAGATGTTGACTAGAGTTGGAGTTGGCTCTAAAACAGATTGTAGTTTGTTTTGATTTAAGTTCATAGCAGACTGTTGAGTAAATATAGTGTTAGTAAATTTTTAGTGCTTTAACCCAAATTTTGTGTATTTGCTTCATACGTCGTTTGTATAAAGTGTGTGTTTTGCCATGCCTGTCTCTCAATTCCCTTGCAAGCGCTCCTGGGATGAATCGCGACAGCTGGCAACTGCACTCATTCCAATGAAGAGACAGTAACCTCTGGCATGTTTATAGATGATGTTCCTATACTCATTCCTGCGGTCCGTTTGAACGTCATCCAGTCATTCAACGCTGTTTTTCAGGTGAAATCGTCAATCAACCAGCCCAAATGCATACCCTACTAAAGAAAAGGATACTTCTGTTGCATTACTGGCTCAATTGTGTTGATACAAGAAAACTTTTGAAACTTTGCTGCCGTCCAAAAGATATTGCAAAAATAATTTGCAAATTTTTTTTTTCTCCACTAGAGCTGATCACTGCATTCCATGAGTCAGGAGCATGACTAACGAAATCTCTGCGCACTTTCGTGCAATTTAGGGTGGCCTTAGCTGAGAATAAGGATAAAGTAGAACAGTGGCCTTAGCCGAGAATGAGGATAAATTAAAACAATTGGGCACAACTTATCTTTAGTGTGTAAGCTGAGACTAATTAAGGTTGTGTTTAATGCTCATGAACAAGTTGGCATGTGTTAGTCACTTTTAGAATGGTAAGGATCTCCTGCATGCCCCCCAAAATTTCAACATTAAGACTGTACTGTACAGCTGTCAGCATGTTCAACTCGAGTGCTCTGTTGTGTGGCCTTGACTACCTTCCACTGACACCAGCGCCGCCAAGCGTTAGACCCGACACGTTTGCAGCAGCAAACAATAAATGGAGCAAACGTCAAATACACATCTGGCAGGCCTGTTTTCGCCACATTTTTCTTGCAGCTGCGTTCTTCCATGCGCCCACAAATTTTGTTGCTGCATGCTTATCTCAGCAAAGTCTCATTGCATGCAACAGCTCATGAACCTTTCAAATTTGAAATCTCAGCTGTGTTTGCCCTGCTATTCTTACATATAATTTCTTTTGAGCGCCAATTGTCATTTAAAACTCACAACGTGCATAAGCTGTCGGGCATTGGCAGATTGTCGAGATAAGCTTACAGGAACAATTTTCATAGGCTGGCATGACAATGCAGCCGCAAGCAAAACTTGGCAAAAACAGCCCGGCCAAGCAAATTGATTCGACCTGCCAGTCAGGCAGAAGAAAAAGCAGAAATTTAACAATGAAATTTACCCACGCTCCATCCATCATCAGCTATTGCAAACATGCAGTGTCTAATATCTGACAGTGCTGGGGTCAGTCAAAACTGGTCGAGGCCAGGCAGTGGAGCATTGAAGTGAACCGTGCCAACAGCTGTACATGTTCATATTTTAAAAAGCAGGAAAAAGAAACAGCTAGGTAAAAAACAAATATAGATAAAGAAAAGATCAGGAAGCACACTGTGCAGTCTGCTGCTTTGACCTTGAGGGTTTTTTTACCCTTTCTTTGCGATGCTTCCAAAAAAAAAAGACAACAGTCTGTCACAGGGTGTCTACAAACTTTATAAGTCTGTCACAGGGTGTCTACAAACTTTATAAATCTGTTTTTCCCTACAAATTTCATAGCTCCCTGACGTTTCCAGGTTCTCCATGATGATTAAAAGCAAATTCAATGACTACCACATCTGCATGGGAAAACTCTGTGCATTGAAAACAAACAAACCCTCGAGTGGTAAACAAAAGTCAGGCGCATCATCTAAGTAAACTAATTTAACAGACGCACTCAATGATCTGAGCGCATGTGGTAAATGTGAAAAAAATATGCATATCCGGCCAAAATAAAACCCCTGATCCAGGCAGTGAGCAAGTCAGCTCTTTGGTGTTTAGAAGAGCCAGGAAGCAAACACACAAGTTAAAAGTAACCGCAGATGAAAGTTTGAGGGAGCCGCAATAGTCCAACACCGCAGTCAAAGCTGCTAGGAAACGTAGAAGTGGTGCCAACTCACAGCATCAGTGTAAAAAGAGGACACGAGAGCCTGGCCGGTTCTGACTGATATGTTGGGTTCAACATCCCAAAACCATAACATGATTATGAGAAACGCTGTAGTGGAAGGCTCCGGAAATTTTGACCACCTAGGGTTCTTCAACATGCACCCAAATCTGAGCTCACAGTCCTACAAAATTCCGCCTCCATCGGAAATGCAGCCACCACAGTCGGGATTCCATCCCACGACCTGCGAGTCAGCAGCTGAGTACCTTAGCCACTAGACCACCGTGGCAAGGCGCCTGGCCGTTTCTTTAACTATAATGGCTGTAACCCATGCCGCTTAAGATGTGGCGTAAATTGAATTAGATCGACCTGAACTGCTGTATTTACTGACTCAACTATTAATGATGTGGATTATTAGTTTTGATTCGACCTGGATTGCTGTATTTACTGATTTGTACCCCCCCCCCCCGCTCTAATTTGCTCACCTTTAAAATATACTTTTCAGCAAAAAAAATGACTAACTACTACTCGAATATTTTGTGTACCTTGCCTTGAAAATGAGTATTGACAACTTGGAAGTACAGAGCCGTACTGCAAAATTTTCCGTTCCTTTTTTCTTTATTCCTTTTCCCGACGAGCACCTGCATGTAGGTATTTCATGTCTCTAGGCTCTGACACTTGAAGTGCAACAAAAGTTCTCAGACCGCTGAAAGCTGGGGACAGTGTTTAAAAGTACGGACGTTTGAATACAGTCGACTCTCGTTAATACGAAGTTTACGGGGACCGCGAAAAACTTCAAATTAAGCGGAATTCCAATAAACCATAATGAACGAAAAATACATTTATTTCAAAGCAGTTTATGAGAAAAAATCTGTGATTGCCGTTTGCTTCTGTTTGCTGAATCTTGCAGCAGAAAAGAAGTCCTGCAGGCTGTATATGTGCCCGAGCGCTTCCTCGGCCTTGCTCTCAGCAGTGAAAAACCGCTGCGCGAGGGCAAGGCCTGTGGCTACATCAGCAGCCCGCGGTAGTGGCTCACTTGCAGGGTCGCCGTCGTCCTCAGTTTCGTGACTAGGCTCGCTGGGCCGAACCATCTCCACGATCTCAGCATCCGACAGTGCACCACACGTTTCTACCGAACTGTCAGTGGCAATGTACTCCTCGAAAGGGATGTCGCCGAGAGCTGGCAGGAGACCATGAACGACAAGCTCTTGTGTCTTCTTCCCCCACTGTACAAGACGCGTCATCTTCACCACTTGGAATGAAGCCGCACGCCCTAAAGCAGTTCGCAATGGTTTCATCCTTTACGCGACTCCACACTCGCGCCAGCATATGGATAGCACTGAGAAGGCTCACTTCATACTGACTTGCATTGTCCATACACAACAGCACCCGCTCAAGAAGGTGCTTCCTGTACAGTACTTTCACGTTTTTGATGATCCCCTGGTCCAGTGGTTGTAACACCGATGTAGTGTTCGCTGGCAGGTAGGCAACACGTATTGCAAATTTTGACTTTCGTCGCCAAGTCAAGCGTCTGACAAGGCCCGCGAGTTGCCATAGTAAACGCACGTGGAGCTTCGTCGCACGTGGAAACGCCGAGTCCGCACACGACCATAGCGAGATCAACAATGAGGCCCGGAACTGGAACCGCTGGAGCAGTCGCTTCGTGATCTGGGGCGCTGCACGCAACTGCGATGCTATCAGCTGACGGTTTGAGCTGCGGCGTTGTGGTCAACTGCGATGCCCTTGGGTGACGGTCGGACACGCACTGTTGTTCAGCACTTCAAAAATAGGAAATTTTACAAACATTACGATTTCCTCTGGGAATTTGATTGAAAATAAATTTGAATTAACCAAAATTTGAGACCTCTAGCTTCCAATTACCGAGAATTTCTTCCTGTCGAACTGAATGCAAAACTGACGGGACCTCCACTCCACTTCCAATTAACCGATAATTCCAATTAAGCGACTTCGAATTATCGGGAGTCGACTGTATGCGGCGGCAAAAAGGAATCTGTCAAGGTGCAACACATTCTTTGATTCCACAGATGAATCACGAATGTCGGCAGGTTATCATGATTTACGTACTCTGCTAGGGATGCGACACAAAAAAATAATTGCAGAAATATTTATACAACCTCATGAAACTGAAACGAAAAATTTAGCTGAAATTACCTAAATGCTACCCTTGAAACACGAGTTGCCAGCGATAAGTGCCTAGCTGAGGACGTTTGCTGTTGCATAAAAATAATAATAATAATAAGCAGAAGAAGACGAAGAAAAAGAACAAAAGGCATGAATAGCCTGCCAAGCTTCTGCTGATGGCAGTCTAGCCTACACAAACCAGACGGCCTTCAAGCCGAGCAGAAATCGTGGCCTAGACAAACATGTATAACTATACAGAAGTGAGTAATGTTGTAGTTCGAAAGTAAGATAAGCCGTGTAAATGTAGAAGCAATAGACATCAAAATAGTGGGTATACCAACATTGGAGCTAAGGAATGCTTTAGCTGATGTGAAGGACAAGTTGATAGACAGCCACAATTTTTACAACCAGTACATCGGTGAAACTGGTGATTTCAAGAAAAAGAATTAAACAACACAAATATGATGCCACAAAATGACGCATGACCTTGAGTGCCCTCGCTGAACACATGAAATCTACAGACCATCAAAAAGACTTGCAAAACGCGTGTGTTCTGAACAAAGAAAAAAAAACGCATTTTCCCACATGGGCCAACTTGAGTAAATGCGTCATGGAGTTGTGCGGGTATCATGTGAATATTGTGTATAGTTGAGTGATCATAATTTAAACACTGATAATTCATACTTTTGGTTAATTGAAATAAAATTCCATTTTTGGTTGGCTCTCTCTTCTTTCAATGTATTCATAAACTTCCTAACTCAAAATCCATCATTCAGTTAATCATACCTTTTGCAGGTCCCCCACCAGAAACTATCAGCTGCTTTCCCACTAATACTATCAGCTACTTTCCCACTAATATTTAAAAATTTGAGTGCTTATATAATCATAACAATCTAAAAATGAAAAATAAGCACCTGAGGCCACAAGGAAAAAAACTTTGCAAGTAAACAGATGTTTTAAACAAAACACACACACGATAAACCGTGATGCTTCTCAACTGGTAGAGAGCTTTGTGCTGAAGGCACATACATACAGCTATTAAGCAGTCGGCAATTCAAGACTTCTTTAAAAGGTCTGATCAGCAGTAAATGGCCAACAAACTTGTCGACTTCACACCTCTGCTTTCTGTTCACAGCATGCAGTTAGAGCTTGAAAACACTACAAAATTTTTAGATGTGCTAAAATCAATGCCTAATCATAATGTGCGGTTCCATCTCACCCAGAGTCATGTATCTCAGAACTTCTGTAATTCAAACTTCTTGATATTTCAAACAAAATTCAGAGGTCCATTCGAGTTTGAATTAACCAGACTCAACTGTAATTGGGTATGGTATAGGAATGCTTAATTGTTTTTTTTTGTCTTTATTATTCATATCTATTGAATAAAGGAGAAATGTTGCCTTCAAAGAGTGCCGAGACATGGTCGGGTTGTGTCCAATTAATGGTTGAAGGTACTGTTGCTTCCATTGCATCTACTCGAGTCAAGCAAAGCGTCAAGCCAAGCGAAAGCCAAGTAAAGACGTGCTTGACTGAATTCCGAACACCCGATCCAGTGCCTACATATACAGGATGGTCAGCGAACGGTTGTGCAGCATGAGCAGTCAGTTTTTACAGCGTCGGCCTTGCGAGGCGAGAGAGATGGGGTGGAGCGACAGTTGGCTCGAGACACGAGTATGCGCAGTAGGGGTGTATGTAGACCCCACGGCTGACACCGGATTTGCGAGTAGATGCAACTATAAAATGCTATGCATTTAAAAGAAGCTTGCATCATGCTTGCACCTGGAATCCAGATACAGACGACTGTACATACGCTGAACTCGAGTGATGGGACACTTCTATGTATTTTCGCTGCTTATGTCACGTATTTAGGTTTACTTAATCATATGACTTACTTTAAACAAGGCTCCCTTCCATATCAGGCGCTTAAACGTCAGTAAACTGAGTGCTATAGGTTGGTGTATCCTATCGCGTTTACACTAAGCAAGAGTTTTGCACTTTTTTTTTTATTCACACGCCTTTTAGCAGCTCACTGCAGTAGCTGAAAGAGCGACTTTTTAAGCTTTGATCAATGGTAATGCTTATTTTTCTGACGGTCTCACAGAACCGCTGTCAGTTTCTATGAGCTGGCCAAGTTTTTCAGAAATTCCCCGACTTTTCCATGACTTTTCCAGAAGGGTCCAAATTCCCTGACTTTTCCAGGTTTTTCCAAGTTGGTAAACACCCTGCTGTTAGCTTTCGCGAAACAAGTACTGGACCTATACTTGAAAAATGAGATCCACACAATATGAAAAATGCACTGCTGCTCATGTGCATGAGAGAGGGGACAGGGGGGGGTGGAGGGCAGGCACTTACCGATGCATTTTTTCTGGGCTTCTCCCTATGCAAAAGTAGTGGCTGGTCAAGGTCCTGAATCTCAATGTTGTAAATACGCCTGCACAGTTGTAAAGACGCAATGTGTGCTGTTAATGTTTTGAAGGTGCCTTTCACACAAGGATAAGTCTATGTCTAAATCGCACTTCTAAGCTCTTACAACAGCGAAAATATCGGTAACCTTCTATTATTGCCATAATTAAGAGAAACAGAAACGATAGTGTTTTGAAGATGGCATTCACAACAAATGCACCCAGTCAAAATACACTGAAATTAGCCAGTATTCACTGGCAAGATTGACCTAAGTTAAAGAATCTTAAAGCTAAAGCAATGAATGTCTGCTGTACGACATTAATATACCGATTTCTCTTCAATGGATTCTCGCCCTACCAAATAGATTCATACCGTCCAGATAACCTTGCTCGAGGTCCTTATAAATAGAATACTGGACAAAAAACAATTTTATTTAGCTGCTACAAAAGGAAACACTTCCACTATGAAACATGGCTTGGTAAAACAGGAGAGGTTTTATTGCAACATTGGGTACTTGAGAAAAAAATTTTTAAAATTTTGAAACAAGAAATCCTTCGTAGAGGATTAGATTAAACCAGATTTACTTGACTTAGATAACTTCCATAAGACACTCACTTGTAATAGTTAACGTAAGTGATGTCCTCGCCGGTGTGGAATGTGAAAGTTGAGGTAGGCTTGGCATCCCAAGCAATGTCATCCACTCTGTACGTGTGGTAGTTGTACCGTGTCATCACAACTGCACCAACAATGGCATGCACAGCCTTGGCTTTGTAGTCCCTCGGGTATGAATTGTATACATCAAACCTGAAGAGAGAGTAGCTCAGTTTCATCTGAAGGAACATAAACACATTGTAAGACCTAAAATGACCACAATTATTTGCATTATACCAATTCATACAGTTTTTATTCATCCTGCATTTTTCATCCTGTTTTTATTCATCCAACATGTATTTTTCCCTCCTTTTCCACACTGCTACAACACCACTAAGTATCGGTGTCAAACCAGCGAGAAATGTACAGCAAGTCCTGAAGCATACCTGCCAGGTTTGCAGCGCAAGGAAGACACAAACGAGGGGTAGCTGTCGTCTTATCTTGGCTCTGAAGGTTGCTGGTGAGCTTCTTGGACCACATGTGCGCAGTCAAGTCAGTTCTACTGCCGTGTGGAATCCTGGTGTCACATTTGCAAACAGTGCAAAACGCATGATGCTCACTTTTCCCTGATGCCACGATACAGCTAAACTCGACGGTATGCTGCCTTAAAAAAACATTACGATACTTCTTGGCTTGTTCTATAAGTACCATGGCGGAGCACTCTGTAAAGGGCGCACTGCGCCATGCACCGGAGCCCCAAAGCCAACAAAATACATAAGAAAATTGCCGATGCAGCAAAAGCCATAAAGTGGGAGAAACTGCAGGAAGAATCAGACCTTAGCAGCATGCTAGTGCGAAATCAGGCAGCTGCACAGGCAATCTCTTTACGCATAGATGAAAGCCACAGTGGCACTGCACAAGTTCTAGTCACTCTACTAAGAGCTTCAATTTTGCTTTCGCATTTGACTAGCCATGCTTTTTTTAGACTCCTGACTGATCATGATGTTAATCGGTGCCATGCAGAATAATTAAATTTTCGTGCAGCACACTGAGGAATATTTCGCCAAGCATGGGTGCATTTTCAGGAGGTTTCTGTCCTGGTTGTACAGTTGTACAAAACCATCAAAATTCCGGATTCTGTCAGACAATTCGGGAAACCTGGCAGGTATGTAAATATGCTGAAGTAATAAATGAAGAAGCCTTACTAAAGTCGCTACAAGCATACGTGCTCATGTTATGCGGCAACAGCAGCCATTCACTTTCTTAGATACCACGAGGTAATTAAAACAGCCCACAAAATAAACTTCATTCCAGCTTCTATCATATGGATCAACATTAACTTGTAGAACTTTTAAAAAGCGATGGTTTGACTGAGCATATGCTGCTTTAAAGCAGGTGAGCTTGGAAGCATATCAATTAAGCCTATTAAGTCGTTCACAACTATAAAGAATCATGAACATTGTACTAAATTTAACCTTTTTTTCTTCTTTTTTTTCAAAGCTCAGCTTGCGTGCTTTGGGGAGGGGGGGGGGGGGGTTGATTCAACATGGTTGTTTGTTTTTTTTTTGTTTTTTTTTGCCAAATTGCATGAAAAGAAATAGCTTGAAGGCTTCATTGCACAGCCAAAATGTCATTAAACTTCCCAGACAGGGAGACATTGCTACCAGTTCCCATGCAGAACTGCTGTCAGTAGAGTCATCAAAGCAGCACCTTTTAAATGCGCCTTTATTCCTTCGTGGTGATACGGCAGCCATGTTATAGACGAGCTTATCAGAGGCAGCAGTATAATGAAAGAGAAAAAAAAAGCACAACATCGATACAGTATGTATATCAGCATCAGGAATTGCTATTGCATGCAATAGGACAACCATAATCGGCGCAGGTTCACCTGAATAAAACACTGCTAATTATCTTAGTGCACATGTGTTGTGTGTACAATGAAATCTTGATAGAACAAACCCCACATTAATGAACTTTTCGGGTTAACAAACAGTGTAAAATTATTCTATTACTACAAACTTCCGAATACCGAACTTTTCAGGGTAACGAGCATTATTTAATTCCACGTTATAGTAACGCCTCAGTACTAATAACTAGTGTTCTCAAATCAGTTGCGACCACTGGAGTAGTACGCAAGCAGACGACAAAGCAAACGGACGCCTTGCTTCTCGGAAAATGCGCAATGGTGCGGAGGGAAAATAAAACGACAGGGCGACTTTCTTTTCTTTCTTTTTCTTGAAAGGCCTACGCTGCAGGTTAACAAGCGCAGAGGCGAGGGGCAAGGGCAACACAAGAGGGCAAGGTCAGCGAGGCAGAGTGAGAGTTGCAGAGCAGGAAGCATGAGCGCAAAAAAACCTGACAGCGATTGATTGATTTGTGGGGTTTAACGTCCCAAACCACCATTTGATTATGAGAGGCGCCGTAGTGGAGGGCTCCGGAAATTTAGACCACCTGGGGTTCTTTAACGTGCACCCAAATCTGAGTACACGGGCCTACAACATTTCCGCCTCCATCGGAAATGCAGCCGCCGCAGCCGGGAATCGAACCCGCGCCCTGCGGGTCAGCAGCCGAGTACCTTAGCCACTAGACCACCGCGGCGGGGCCAAAAAAAAAAAAAAAACCTGACAGCGAGGGAGCAGAAAACGAAACGAGAGGAACTTTATTTTTTAGCACTTTTTTTTTTTCTTCTGAAGAAACGATGACAGTCGCGACACTTCGGGCTTTTCTTTTTTTTTTGTCATTTCTACATGTGCTCTAGGAGGCCTTGTTTGTCAGTCATGTTCATCTCTTTTCCGCAAAGCAAGTAGACGTTCACGCTGCGGTGCTACAACAAATCAGTTCATCTCTGCTTGTGACAAAGAAGCAAAAGCAGTTTTCGCTATGCGAGAAAGTGAATATTCTTCGGCAACTGGAAGGTAAAAGGCAGGCTGTTGTGACCAAACAACCAAATTGCACCACAGGAATGTGGATGAGCTGGAGGCCTTCACGCTGCTAAGTTTGTGCTGCACGCGTCAAAAAAAAAAAAAATAAAATAAGACTTCTTTAATGTAAATGTTCATTTTTTGGTGTTCACTAGGGCTCGTCAAAAACGAGTTCAAGGGCCCACCGTTCTAAAGGTAAGTCATTTTGGTCGGTGGAAGATGTGTATTTATGGTCAATTTTGGGCTTTTACTATAGCGAGCTTTCAAAATAACGAACAAATTGCTGCAGCCCCCTGAAGTTCCTTATACCGAGATTTCACTGTATATGATGTTGCTATATTATACCATGGCCATGAACTTGACATCTGGAGTAGCAAGCGAGGTGATAAACCAGGCTAACATCCCTGAGGATATCGTAAAATGTAACACAGTTCCGCAAGGCAAGTTCCGACAATACGGCGTGCGCCGAGACATTTCTCTGCAGCTCCGAAATTGTAGCCATGCTTCAAACCACAAGCCCACAAGGATGTGATGCCTCTCACTGTGGTAAAAAGACAACAGCACATTGTTTCCCAAGAGAAGCAGATGATGCGCAACAGAGAACTACAGTAGACTCTCAGTAAACGGAAATCTGCTAAACAAAACTGCTGCTTAAAAGGAACAAGTGCCTCCCGCACAATTGGTTTCACACTTAGATTCTCCACTCTTGTTCACCTCTCAGTAAACGGAACTCCTGTTAAACGGAACACATTTTCGTGGTCCCTTCAGATTCCGCTTATTGAGAGTCTAGTGTACATAAATTAGAAAGTTGTGCGCTCGAAAAAAAAGACTATGCTGGCTTGGTTTGATCATTCAAGACAGTTCGCTTCACAAGAGAGGGGGGGGGGGGGGGGGGGGGGCAGAAGTATGTGTGTGCTTACTTTAATTACTAAACTAGGGATGTACAAAAAACTTGGCCACGCCTGTTTTCTGCCCCTCTGTGTTAACAATGCTGACACAAAAGAGGGACAACTCACTTAGATTTTTTTTTTAATTTTCTTTATGGGTGAACGAAACTCGCATCTTTTATGTATTTTGACATGCTGATTTCAAATATGCAATTACTTTTTTTTTTGTGCAACAAGTACTTTTCAAAATATAGAGAAATTCATATTTTTTGCATTGACTAATTTAACGGCGAGTTTTCTCTTGAATGCTGGTAGTGATAAAAGACAGTGGCACATGAAAATGATGTTGTACGGCCAGAACTTCCAGTGCTACAAGAATGAATGCTCTAGACTGATTTGAACCAAAGTTACAGCATGTCAAACTTTCGTAAACAAAAGGCTTTAGTAACACCCTGGAGAAATGATCACTTTTTGAAAACATATCTCATGTTATTGAATCAAATTTTATGCCTACTGCGCTCCCCATTTGTCCACTTTTCCAACAAAACAAGAATCACTGAGATAGGATAAGTATCATTACAGATATCATCTTTCCTAAACTACACCAAGATAAAAAATGCAGTTTTGAGAAAACGAGAAACATCAGTCAAGACAGGTTGAAAATAATTATGGAAATCTCTTGAACATTGCAGTGATCGAAGATGATATACAAGTTCAATCAGGCAAAAATTAATATTTTATAACGACCTCAAATAAAATTAGGGCATTTCAAAATTTCATTGATAAAACCCAATACTAACGTGAAAAAAATTTCTGTAACTGTCCCTCATTAATATGTAATATCATAATAATGTATTGTTATAATAATATATTATTATATTCATTGTACATTTTTAGCTGTGGAACTCGACAGCCACCTCAAATTTCATCTTCACGTGTCTGATGTAAAAAAGAAAATGGCTCATGGTATATGCATTCTTATCAAAGTGCGATTGCATTTCTCCTTTTCTACTCTCTTATCCCTTATGATTTCGTTCATTCTCACCTTAATTACAACATTTAACCATGGGGTAACACATACAACAGTCACCTGGCATCATTGCAGACTATTCAAAACCGGGCCATTCGTCTAATAACGTTTTCATCACGTTCTGTTAACGCGAATCAGTTATTGCACTCCTACAATATTCTAAAGATGTCGGATCTTAATAAATATAATCTCGCCATTTATGTTTTTAGGGCACTAGAGAACGATATTCCTGTATCCATAATACTAAGGGCATCCCTTATTAATGCTAACAATACTAGATTCGCTGAAAATAATAATTTCATTTTACCCATCATACAAACGAATTACGGCAAGCAGTCGCTACATTTCTCAGCACTTGCTTTGTGGAATTCACATCCATCTACTCTAAAATCACTAAATGCTCATAGGTTCTGATCTGAACTTACACATCTTCAGTTTGATTTGTCTGATTCCGGTTCTTCACTGCTTTAGGTGTTCTCATTCGGTAGTTTTTGTCTATCTTCTCAATGATTGATTGATTGATATGTGGGGTTTAACGTCCCAAAACCACTATATGATTATGAGAGACGCCGTAGTGGAGGGCTCCGGAAAGTTAGACCACCTGGGGTTCTTTAACGTGCACCCAAATCTGAGCACACGGGCCTACAACAGTTCCGCCTCCATCGGAAATGCAGCCGCCGCAGCCGGGATTCGAACCCGCGCCCTGCGGGTTAGCAGCCGAGTACCTTAGCCACTAGACCACCGTGGCAGGATTGTCTATCTTCTCATCTTTCCTTATTATTACATCCCTTTTCTGTGATTTTCCCTTATTTGTCTTTATATTTTGTTTATCTTCTCATCTTTCCTTATTATTACATCCCTTTTCTGTGATTTCCCTTATTTGTCTTTATATTTTGTTTATTGGTTTGAGCTTTACTGTTTATTTCTTTTGAAATGTCTCCCGCTCTGTCCTTACTCTCATCAACTATGGCACATTTCTTGTTCGTTGCTTTTTGTTAACACTATTTATAAGTTATTTCCTTACTTTATGCGAATTAGTCATTATCATTATTCTTATTATCAAGTCCATGAATTGCCAATTTACTTTTGTTGTTGACTTCGTTATCATGCACAGGAGGTCCCAATTCAGTTCTTAACTATGGGACCTCCTTCTGTATATACTAAACATGTATTATTTACTTTGTTTGACGTGAAAAATAATATGATTCCGATTCTGAACCAAATACTAGTCCTATTGGACTTTTCAATTCACCAACCTTCTGAGAAAAAAAAATTATTGAGACTGGTTGAGTAGAAATATGATTCCGATTCTGAACCAAATACTAGTCCTATTGGACTTTTCAATTCACCAACCTTCTGAGAAAAAAAAATTATTGAGACTGGTTGAGTAGAACCAGGCATATTATTGCTTCAATATGACACCATCAGAAATGCCACTTTGGGGAACCATGTAGAAAAAAAAAATTGCCGTTGGAATGTTTTATTGTGAAGCTTACGCCGCGACAGTCTCATCAACGCGAAAATATTGTTAATGAATGTCTGGCCATTCCCACTACAGAGCACTGCACACGTGGATAAAATGTTTATCTCTAATGCATTGCATGACTTTTCACCATCAACTGTGCGAGTTCTATGTCGTCACTTGACCACAACAGACGCAGTTCACTATCGGTTTCTTAGCAAGGCCATAGTTGCAGTCCCCCGAGACTAGTTTCGCCCACCCGCCACACACTCTGCATCACGCTTTGCATCGTAGAGAATTGGTGAGCAGCTCATTCAGGATCTCCAAGCCGACCATCAAATACGAAGCTGTAGTGCCCATGGCGGAGGCCGATGATACGTAGCTTGCATAGGTGAAAACTGCAGTCTTTCGTGCTATCATCGGTGTCTACTCAAGTAGACCAGGCATGACCTGCTCACAAGCACTGACTTGGGCTGTGTCGCTGCTCGTCACAGCTTCAGCGTCAACTCGCACTAGGAGAGAGTACGCGCGAAGAATGTCGTCCTTCTCGGGCGGATCGCTGTCAGTTGCATTATCATGGGTCGCTTGCTGATCGCTTGTCAAGCCGGCCAACTGTATGCCCTTATCTTGCGGACCGCTATCACCAGTCCCCGGCACTGGGAGTCGCCCCGGCACTGGGAGTCGCCCCGGCACTGGGAGTCGCCCCGGCACTGGGAGTCATCGCTTGCTCATCGGTTAGAGAGCGGTGCAATACCATGCCCTTGTGGGGAGGACCACAATTACCTACATCGTCGTTATCAGGTGCCAAAGCAATGACGCTTGCTAGCTGATCAATTACAGAAACCTGTGATGTCATGCCGTTAGCACGTTTCTTTTTCATTTTGCCTCGCCTTTGGCTGATCTGATACACCGAGTAGAACTTTCTCGGTCCTCCAGGAACATTTGTCATCGGATCGTAACATAAGCAAAAATGGCACCTTAACCAGCCATGTTTTCAAATGCAGCGCCCTAACGCAATTAGATGACGCCATTTTAGCCACGTGATCAGACGTGGCTAATGACAACGTTTTACACTTACTTTCTTTTACCTTGTTATTTGAGAAAGTGGCAAGCTCAGTGTTGCCAGACTGAATGGTAAAAAAAAGCCAATCGCAACAGCTTTTCAATGATAAAAAAATGGCCACGTGTGCAAGAGTTCCAGGCAGCCGAAATAAGCACGTAATGACCTGCTTTGGCTGTACATAACACAAACACAATGTAAAGAAACAAACAACGACAAGCATGAATTAAATTTATTGAAGGGGTGGCTTGGTGCATTTGCCTATGCATTGCAAGTGCCTGCGGGTGCTTTTCTATGCTGTTTGACATCGAATTAAAATAACTTCTACGTGATGAATGCCGTTCTAATTTGGCCAAGAAGACCTATGCATATCAAGCGATCGAATGATGGCCACATCTCAATCTTGAAATTTGATGTCAGTGCTCCTTTAGGATTCTGGGTAGAAATAGGAATAAGACCGTGCCCGAGTTGATGGAAGCCTATTATATTAAAAAGAAAAGCCAAAGGTGTATCAGCGACACGTCCGTGGCGTTGTACGTATCGAGGAGGAGACTGATTGAAAGCTGGATAGCGTAAGGCTGTGTGAAGACTGCGCATGTCTGTATGTCGTTATTTAAATCTGGGTATGCGCTCAGTCTTCTTTACTTTGAAGTGCCGCTTGTGCTTGTCAATGTGTGTTCCTTTAATTTGTGTTTGTGTTGTTTGCGGCCAAAGCATGTCATTAAGCAAGTACCAACTAGGCCAACAATCAGCATTGTTGAAAGAAGCATGATTTGTCCACACATTAAAGGGCTGGGGGCATGCTGACGCATCTTTGATTTATTCTTATGCCACTAATATGCGAGAATTTAAAATGACAACTTTCACACAGGTGCAAAGTGATAGAAGACAAAAATGCCAGTTTTAAAAATTCGATTTTTGGGCACATTTTCGGGTCCTAAGAGCTCTATCTCACCTTAAAGGACCCCTGACTTGTGAGTAAGACGTTTTAAAATCATGTATCTCTCTGATAATGATGAAAATGATCTGCAAATAGCTAAACATAGAGCACAATTATTGTTAGTGCTGGTAACATGATTAATTTTTGGTGTCGCTTCAATGCGTCCACCATTATAATAAAATTGCACCCCACTGCGCTAGAGCTCTATAGGACCACGCATACTCAGATTTCAGTGATGCTGAGAGAATTCTTTTCAAATCGGAGCCTCACGAGCAGGATCAGGCTGAATGCTCAAAGAAGCTCCTGCACTTCTTAGCAAAGAAGTTCTAACAGCGCCGCTGTTCAGCCTCTATATGGCCTCTCCTAATTAAGGTGCTTTAAGGTGTTAGCAGATGATTCCACGACTACCCAAAACACAAAACGGAAGACACATCCAGAGATAGTGAGTACAAAGCATTATATATGTACCTTCCCTACTAAATGTTTTCAAAATTTCTTGAAACTTGGGATCAAATGAAAAGCAATGCTCTACTCACAGCACTTCACGAGCAGTGATGGTGCGGAGGACACGGAAGGACACATCACAGTTGAGCAAAAGCCCTCCATCATATTCAGACACCGACTGCACATAGCCAGGCCACACCTCTAGCCTGCAACAAACAAGGCAAGATTAATATAATTGACACCTAAAGAGACTCTCGAATTAAACAGGCTGCCAGCCACATTCCTGCTTTGGCACACTCCAGAGAACCTTCAGCTTTTAAAAAAAGTTTCTATTACACACAGTCTAACAGTACCATACCTGCCAAGTTCAAAAATTCTGAATTCGGGAGATTTCTGCAATGATTGGGGGGGGGGGGGGGGGGGGTATATGTTTTGCCCTCCTCACTACCTCTTCTTTTTTCACGCACACACAAAAAAAACAGAAAGGGTGGGGGTCTAGAACAGGAGCGCAAACATTGGCGATGCGATCTTGTCATGGCTTATAAACAATGCAGCAGGCGGAGTGTCTAAACAACGGTAGAATCTCGGTGTTACGTACCAATCTCAAGCGGCATCGGAAATATTCTCTACGCTTGAAGCTTAGTATAATAAAAAAAAACTAGCAAAAGCTGTTTTTAAACCACAATATACACACAAAACATTTCTTTCCATCAAAAGAACTCGCATACACTATTGTGAGATACACACAAGTGGACCAACAAGGGACGACACAGCTGGCTGCCACGAAAGTGCACGTCAAAGCTTCGCTTGAGGCCAACTGTAAAGTGCTAGTCTGCTTCACTGAGTCATGAACAAAGATCGACATGAACACCCAAACACTTTGTGCCTGTTTTCAAGCTTTTATCGCTTTCAGTCTACCACTACATTAGCCTTACACTCTTGGAGCTCGTAGTCGCTATCAATGATCTCGTCACAACGACCACGGTTTATTCGAAGCGGTTGCAGCAAACAGTACTTCCGTTATTCCGCCTATCTCCTGCGAGCGCCTTGGCCGCGTACCGAGCTATCTCCTGCGAGCGCCTTGGCCGCGTACCGAGCCTCCAAGGTCTATGGTTCAATTTTCGTAGCCTCAGCAGGAAAGAGAGGGCAACCCTCCTCTGGCCAAGCTGTTCCTCAAAGCAGATCCGTCAGTTGTAGAAGACAAAGTTATTACCACTTTCTTTTCTCACGCTTCACTCACTCCACCTGCATCTCCGAAAGCCTGCACCATAACACAACCTGATCCGAATCTCGATCGTCCATTAGCATGGGAGAAATCCTAGCAGCCATCAAACACGGGCGTCCTCGATCGGCGCCTGGCCACAACCAAATCACATGGAAAGAACTCCGCAACTTCGGAGATGAAGCCCAGGATGAACTTTTGGCAATAATCAATGACCTCTAGGCCTCAGGAAATCTTCCGGATAACCTTAAGCCGTCTCTCATTTATCCTATTCCGAAACATGGAAAAGAGAAGATCCTCTGCAAGAACCTTCAGCCAATATCTTTAACGTCTACTTTCTGTAAGCTCACTGAACGCATGATTTACACACTGGGAGATGATTTAGACTCCAACTAAAAGTTTTGAAGAAACCCGACATTTCGAAACCGACTTGGTTTCTTCCTCAGGGGTAACTGCGGGACTACGTAGCAGCAGCATCTTCAAAGCACTCACGGTGCAGCAGGAAGCGCGCCGAACTGAAGGAGAAGATCATTACTCGAGTCGTGGAACATACAGAGGACAGCCCATAACATCAACCGCTCTCTCGGAATCCTTCCCCCAGTGTATACACATGGACTGTGCTCCACGGCAAAACGAGAGAAAGGGGGGTCATTATCCGCCCCGCGAGTGCTTTGAAGGCGCCGCTGCTACGTAGCCCCGCAGCCACCCCTGAGGAAGGAACCAAGTCGGTTTCGAATGTCGGGTTTCTTCAAAACTTTTAGTTGAAGTCTAAATCATCTCCCAGTTTTATACCCAACCAGACAGACTTCTGTCGAATGTTTACATTCATGATTCACACACGCATGTCCCATTACCTCGAGATAACCCAGCCGGGATACCATCCAGCCCAGGTGGGTTTTCGCCCTAACCTGGGCACCCATGACCGCCTTTGGCTGCTACGGCGCGTTATCAATTGTACCTCCCGAAACACGTTACCCGACTACTTGCTGGCCGTAGCCATGCAGAAAGCATTCGATAATGTTCACCATAATGCCACTTTTGAAGAACTAGTTAAGCGCTACCCAAGTCAGCGTGCGCACACATGGATTCGAAATTTCCTTGCAGCTCGGCCCATTCTTTAAGCGGTGCATCGCCTGGATAGAGCCTTAAGACTTACTACACGGAGAGAGGTGTTCCACTGCGATTTATTTTAGGACTGCCGCTGTTTAATCTTGTCATGAGCAGGGTAGCACAAAACCCTGAACGGGACACCATGGCTAGATTCGCCATCTACGCCGATGACATTACTATATGGACAGAGGCAGTGAATTACACTGACATAGAATCAATGCCGACCGGGCTGCAGGCAGCCCTCCTTAGTTTAGCGTCCACTCTTAAGGAAGTAGGCCTGCAGCTGGCTCCACATAAGACAGAACTTGTAAGCATAGACGGCAAGAATCGTACCAACCGGAAAATGTGCATCTCACTCCATATTGGATAACACACTTTACAATAAAAAAATGGACAAATCAAAGTTTTAGGTTTGCCAATAGCCAGCTGCAACAGCCCACAAAAGTGGGTACGTGGACTGCGGCAGGCATGGCCAGCCACGTTACATATGATACGTCGTCTGTCCAACAAATACGGAGGTGCATGACAACAAGCCTGTCGCACTCTCGCAAGAGCTGCGGCCGTTGGAAAGATTTTGTACGGCGCACCAATACACATGTTCTCTCCAACAGACATCCAAAATTTGGAGTGAATTCATCGGGCTACTCTCTGTATCATCACGGGGCTCCTTAAACACACACTAACTCAAACCTTGTTAGAACGAAATTGAAGGGGAGCCACAATTATTTCGTTATATCCATTATTTCGTTATATCGATTGATTGAATGATTGATTGATTGATATGTGGGGTTTAACGTCCCAAAACCACTATATGATTATGAGAGACGCCGTAGTGGAGGGCTTCTGAAATTTACACCACCTGGGGTTCTTTAACGTGCACCCAAATCTGAGCACACGGGCCTACAACATTTCCGCCTCCATCGGAAATGCAGCCGCCGTAGCCGAGATTCGAACCCGCGCCCTGTGGGTCAGCAGCCGAGTACCTTAGCCACTAGACCATTTCGTTATATCGATTATAACAGTTTGTTCCGATGTATGCTCAGATGGGCGCACACTTATAAGCATGCAACGGAAACCACCTCGCGGCCCGATGTACCGCTACGCGACCAAGCATGCGACGAAAAATAAACAGTTGAACCTTATTAATTTGAACATGCTTAATTCGAACTTGCGATTAATTCAAACCCACACTGAGGTCTCGTCAAAGCTATGCAAATTCCAATGAGCAAAAACGCCCTGTTATTCGAACGCGCATGCACTTGCGACGGTTAATTCGAAAATACTGCGCTCCGAAAATGCTTTCAGCACCATGCCCAATCCCGCGGCAGCATCTCTTGACACTGCGCACGAAGAAAGAAAAGAAGAAAAGAAAAAAAAAAAGACTACGGCGGATTGTTTGCTCTCTCTCAAATGCCGATCTGCGACGCGCCTGTGCCACGCTTCGCCCTTTTCCGTCTCTGCACGTAGAGACCCTTCTCTTTTCAAGGCCGTGCGTGGAGAGAGAGGTAAAAAGAAAAGCTGTCGCGGAGAGTCCTTTCTCGGTGCAGAGGGTAGCAGTGGAGACTCAGTCGTTGCCAAGTAAGAGGAAAATCGCTTTGCACCACGGCGCCGCTTCTCGGTCATGCGACCCGCTGAGCGCTTCCTCAATCCTGTCAGTGTGAGGAGACTGCTCTCTCGGCCGCACAGGGCGTGGCTGTAAGGTCGGCGCAGTAGTTTGGAAAGAGCCGCGCTGAACGAGCGCTAAACTCTGCAGAAAACTATATATTTAACACACTACTGTCGGTCTTTTTTTGATCGACTATTCGATACACTAATTTAGTTTGTTATATCCATTTACCGGTCAATCTTACTTCGTTACAAGGTTTAAAATGCATGGTTCTCAACAGAGCTTTCAAAGGGAATTTCATTTACTTTGTTATATTCATTATTTAACTATATCCATTATTTCCTTATAACGAGGTTGAGTGTATTCGCCCTTGAAAACGCAGGGGGCTGGCCCCCTCTGCAAGACGCCGTTCGTGAAGCCCACACTCGACACCACATCCGCCTGAAAAACACGTCACAAGGTCGTCGCCTTCTGGCATGGGATTGTCAGCGGCATGATGATGCACCTCTTCTTAATCAGTCCTTACTACCATGGGAAACTCCAATAGCCTCTCGACTGTTTCGTCACCCCATAACTCGTCACAATAATTCTACCCACCAGTTTCTTGCAACGCGACAACTCAAGGGAAGCGAGCTTAGATAGCATCGACACATACACGGACGCTGCCCTCTCTGATGGCAAAGCTTGTTTAGCATGGATATGCGCGCAGACCACCGAGTACAATGGGGCTTACAGGTGCGATCTACCGAACAGTACCACTATGCATGCCGAACTACTTGCCATATGGGGAGCGACTGCAAGCCTCCCATACACTATACAGAAACCCCTTTGTGTCTTTACCGACTCGCACACTGCCTACTCGGAAATATTTCGCCCAGCGTTGGAGGATGCTACAGCTGCTGCTATTCAAAGCATCATTCAGTGGTGATCCAGCCACTTCAACTTTTGGAGCAATTTTTGGAGCAGAGAAAATGCTCTTTTGGAGCACCTTTGTATCGGCACTCGATTTTGGAGCAGCAACTGTAGCAGCAACTAATTATACAAAAATACATCTCTCATTATTGCTGAAACTAAAGCTGTGATAGCAACCACAGTTCTATAAAACCGTATTTGTCTCAATTCTCAATTATTAATTAGGGTGTCACATGCATGCAGATTTTAAAAACCGCCAAGAAATGGACCAGTCCATCAGATTTAATGAACTACTGAAAATGAAGGTAGTGCAGGTGTAGCAATAGTTTATTAAAGTACACTAAAAGCTACGACAA